TTGATATATACCTCTACTTATTAACCAAAATTATTATAACCACTTTCTATGGTTAAAGAAAAAAGCCATTGCATGTGACATATCTTGCAGGGATCACACTACCTAATTGTTTAAGCATATTAGGAGAGGACCTTAGATTTTTTTTTTTTTTGAGCAATAAAAAAAGATTCCTCTTCTGCATCAAGTAGAAACATTTCCCCAGTTTCTGAACATTTGTGTTGAGACGTGCCCTAGCACTAAGAAAGGTCGGGGGGAAAGAGGGGCGCATATCTGTCTCATTCTCCAGTCTTCTTTCACTGTAACTACACCAGTTTGGCTTCATTCACAGCCGGCAAAGGCTGGATTTCTTATTCCTGGTGTTTCTTACTCCTCCTACCCCCAAGTAGGCGCTTAGTTGACTGATTATAGAATCATAAGGTTGGCCATAATTCCATTTCTCCTTCTGACTTTGAACTTAAGTGTTCCAATTAGTTTGCCCGATCCTAATAAGTCAGTAGCGTGCAAATGCTTGCCTTGATATTTCTGAAATATACAGGGCTGTGATTAGCATGGGATTGCATCATTAGAAAGCAAAGTTGAAAGAGGATGAGCAAAATCATCGCTTGCAGGGAAGTAAAACTGCCTGTTCTGAGGACTTACAATGTTACTGTGATCCTAGAGACACTTGGCGCTATGACTAAATATATATTATATTTGGGGGGGAAATCCTCTGATGTGCCGGAACCTTCTGGCTTTATCCATTACTGGAAGAGAAAAGATCTTACAGAAGGACAAGCCCACTCTAATACGCAGCTTTGATGGCTCTTCAAGTCCGATAGAGCTAAAGACACAAAAGAATCCTCATACCACGAAAAGAGGAGGGGGAATGGGAAAAGAGGGTAAGACGGAGAAGGAAAGGGAGAGAAGGGTATGAAGGAAAAACTTTAGTCAATTCTGTTAGAATAAAACTGACATCTAGTCATAAGGTTAGAAAGCTTTATAGTAAGCCTGTGAGGAAAAAGGAAAACAATCTCTCTCTCTCTCATCTCTCTCTCTCTCTCTCTCTCTCTCTCTCTCTCTCTCTCTCTCTCTCTC